AAGGAACGAATTCAGAACTTGGTTCTTATTAACAATACAGCAGCGAAAGGTGCGGGTGAAGTACATTTGGTCATTCCCAACGATTGTGGTCGGTTTGCGGGATCCGAAACGGTCAAGAGGTCCATAAATTCTAGATGGTTCTAAATACATCGTCTGCTGTACTGAGATATTACGGCACATATTCAAGAGGCAATCTCGGTTCTTGTCCGACAAGTCATCTTATTCCTATTGCCGTCACATTGAGGTGGTCGTAGCAGCCGCAATTCTCCATCGAGCTTTTTACAATCCTGGATAGCAATCGGATATTTGAAATTTCTCAATATGCTTCTTCTATCACGAAGCACGCTCTTGGCATAGCAATCGTACGTGTTTTATATTCCGTGGGCTTTATAATATTTATGTACCCCATGTTGGCGCTTTTCTTCACCTACTTTCCATCAGATATGCGCTATTGCCTGCCTATTGGATGATTTAAATCGGTGACATTTGAAATATTTGACGTTATTTTTAAAATTATCCCGTGCACAAAGTCAGAAAATATTGCATTAGGGTAATTTTGACGGATTTTATCTCTTTGTATTTGAAATGAATAATTGGCGACATTATTTTATGACAAATTATTAAAATAAAAATTGAATTCTAAAAGGAAAATATCATTTGAAGATGTTAATAAATCTGCTAGAAATTCTGATAAGACACCAATATAGGGACAACAACGGTAACAAAAAATTGTTTATTCACCTCCTTCAAAGTGTCGATCACGTAATCACAAAAAAATATTATTGAAATATGGTAGCATAGCTTATGTTTTACGTTTTTGTATATTCTTGGAGCTGTGTATCCTGAATGTAAAAATAAAAGTACGAACAAATTTATTTTATCGATTGCTGCAGAAACATTTAAATTCATTTCCTTTGGATTCTGTTTAGTTTCATTGTACATATCAAAATGAATGTGCAGCTGCCTTCAGGAAGGTTGCATACAGTTATCTATAGATCATTTTAATTGCACACATGTCTACCATAGTGAACGATTGTTTCTCATGTCTGAAGAAATAATGTATTGGTAGATCATACAATTTCGTCGCGTTCATCTTATACGAAAAAAGTGAAATGTGCAAAGTTGATTATATGTTACTATAAGTATGTCTTAACCAGTACTGGTAAAGGTGGGCTACTAAATGTTTAAATAAAGTTAGTGTAGCACAATGTTGTGTTATTGATCAGTTCATTTTGTGCTTCAATTTTAGGGGTGATTTGTTGTTACTCTCAACTATTGTCATCATTTAATTTGCATCAGGCAATTTTTGCTGTGCGCTACGGGTATTGATTTCATTTCTGTTATTGCGAACTCAGTTGTTATAAATCCGTTGGCCCATTATTTTATTTGTTCAGTTGTAAAATAATTATATCACCACCATCAATCGTCTGCCTGAAACATGTTGAAATTTTCACAGCTTTTATACAAATAGTAACATTTTCTATGCAGCCAATTTGTACATCATTTGCTCTAGCCGTATTTTATTTCTCTTGATAATTTGTCGAGAGCGTTAAATTTCATTTTGCATGTTTTGAGTGTAACATCAATAGTATCAGATGACATCCATTACAGAGAGCGCCTGTCGCAAAGCGTTTCACAGATAAATCAATTCCGCATTATTTAGTGACATTGCATGAAATCTAACCGGTCATTGCACAGCCATCATTGAACTGTACACAGTTGTTTCATTGGCAGGTTTAGTCTGAATTTATTATTGTATTACCAGGTCGTAAATAAACAAAAGCATTAAAGACATGTTTACAACGCAATTAACCACAACTTGACTCGGAGCCACACACTCTGTTGTAAAGGGACTAAATCCGACCATAAAAGAACCGCTCTCCACTTAGCTTTGTTGCTTAATAAAACGTCAAAATATACTATTTGCTTTGGCTAAATAATGATTTTAAATTATCCGGTTTTGTCAAATGATTAGATTTCTATTATTTTTTTCTTCTCGTGCTTTTTTTAATTAAATTTTGATTAAAAAAATGTGTATTTTCTTTTTGCGAAAACGAATTTCTTAACTTTTACTTCGCGTAAGAATTTGACTTGCTCATTTAAACCGTTTCAGATTAGGTTAGTTGGTATATGTCCCCATGTTTTAATCGTATTGAAGGTCACTGGGACCATTACGTTCATCAGTCTAAACCACATCATTACTCACTTGTCGATAATGCCTTTCTATTAATAATAGTTGTTTATGTATTAAGGGTATATTTAGGGAGATTGTGGCAAGAGGGAATGTTTAAAGCCCGACGAAGGAGGGCTTTGAATTTCCCGAGGACCACAATCGACAATTATGCCCGTGGTGTATACAACGCTTTATTCTATTTTAGTTTCTAAAATATTTTTAACGAAATATTGAGTATTTCCGGCAAGATTGTGTGAATTGTGCCGATGCGAATTTTAGTACATAGCTGGCCATTGTTTTGATGTTATTTTGTATACCACGTTGTTCAGTTGTTAAATTAACTCGATTTTCGAAATGCACACTGAAGAAGCGGAAAACGTCGATTCAAAATTTCAACTTTCTTCAAATAGAGCAAATTTTAAAAAGAACAAACTACAGTTTGTCATATTGACATTGTCAGTCTTAGTGAGTCCGTTATTGAACAAAACAATCTGATCTTGTTAGAAACCTTAAAATTTCAAAATTGAAGTTAGTTCCATTCATAAAAATTTTTAATTTTCAACAAATTAGAGAACTACTTAGTTCGTTCTGCTTTTAAGCAGGAATATAGCAGACAGTATATTTATATAAAAGGAGGCGAGATATTTTTACATCCATGCTGGTCCTTCCGTCCACCTTTTTTTCAGTCTCTCTTTTCTTTTGGTCTCGATGGGTTTCCTTTGTAAAAGCTTTTTTTTTTGTCAAAGCGGAGTTTAGTCTTTTTTTGTCTCTCTGATTCGTTAGGATTTTATTATTGATGGTGTTGGTCGCTTTGTGCATAATAGTTCCACGTTTCTACTAGTTGTTCTTCTGTACGCATATTCAGCCACATTACCTCCGAAAATCGATCTTAAATTCCTTGCTTTCTCACGTTAAAGCTTTTCTTCTAATCTCCATTGCTCAGGAGACATTCTTAGCTTGTTAGAATCGGATTTAAAATGCCATTATACAACGCGCAGCTTTTAATATTTTTGCTACAATTTGCTGCGTTTCCTTATATTTTTCTATTATTTGCACTCCTAAGTATGTGAATATATTCACCCCCTTTCAAATATATATCCCTGCTGTTACTTCTTTTTGTTATTAACGTTGTGGTTGTATTACCATCCTGTTGTTTCGTTTCTTCCTTTGCCATATATGTATTTGTATTTTTCTTGATTTATTTCTGCTGCTGTAAGTAGATTAGTTATCGCACTCTTTACTTTTATGTTATACCTTGGTGATCCTTACTAAATACGATTACAGAAAAATTGATGATATATTTCCATTGGCATATATATTATTTTCTGTCTTACCTCCCTAAGTTCAGCTTTGTGATTATATCGAGTGTTTGTGTCGTTCTTGTCTCATGCTTGTGCCACTTGCTTTTTTTTCTTCGTTGAGACCTTCCAGATCCGGTCTTTTATTCTCTTCATTTCGACGTTGTTGGCAATTTTTGGTTTTGAAACGATTCTTGCAGCTTATTTTCACCAAAAAATGGTCAAAATCTGCGGTTGCCCCTCTTATACTTTTGATGTTGGTTATGTTTATTATCCTCCTCTGGAACGTTTTTTCTTACATTTGTGATTGGTATTACGTTTTTTTCTAAAAAACTTAATTTGTTTGATTGTACTTCAATCAATTTTTTATCAAATGTTATTTTTACATATTCAGATAGGGTAGAAAAACTTGGAATACCGCAACATTTTACTGAACAAGTACAGATATTTTTTAAAATTCTATATGTCACATTGCGAATGGATCGAATATCGCTTTTACGTCACGCGCAGATCTCGAGCCACTTCTAGCTTGAAAATTATAAAAGCTTAGAAAGCTTCCGTTTTCACTATCGATCTCCTAGATGTTTTCCTTCTATTTCTTTTATAGAAAGTTCAAATTTGGGTTTACGACCTTTTTGGTGATTGGTTGAAGCGTAGTGAGTGTTTCCTATATTTTAAACCTAACACGGTCCCTGTCTTTGCGATCGAACACCGAAACCCATCAGTTTAGTCACACTTGCCCAAACCCTTAACAATTAGATTTATTCCGGCTGCAACTTTTGAATGAAGTTAATTATTTGCCTCTTCTGCCTTTTGGAATGAAAATCGTGTCGTGGCAGGTGTCCGATGGCATAAATTGTTTCAGTTGTATTTTTTTAGTCCCATGCGCCAGCACCTCACGATCATTAATCACCTGCCCCCCGGCGTTCGTCCCGGAAACTATTGAGTTGCTCCGGAATGAAAAAGCTGAATCTTGCTAACTTGGTAGGTTTTTACAATATAAGTTTACTTAATCCGTAAGAAAATGGAATGACGTTGAAAGAAAGTTTCGAACGATGTGCTGATTCAGCCAGTTACAAGAAGAAACATGAGATATTGGTTCCGGTGCGACAATATCGGCATTGGGTTTTTAGCGTGCTACGTGGTCACACTGTTTTGTCAGGTTGCGGTTTACTGAAATATTTGTGTTTTAATCACGTTATGTGGTGTATGTCGAGGGGTGAGAAAGGACGCACCACGCGTTCATTTAACTTTTGTGTTTAATTAGTATGAATGTAGGCGACCATATTAAAAGGTGGATACATATCAAGGTGATGTTGTCGGATTGAGTTAAGTTTCTAATGGTACGTTTGCGTTAAGTAAACTATCGTGCCTAAATTATAAACCGTTTTTGTTTCAATTAGCTTTTTGACGCGTCGTCGGTTCCGCCTGTTTATGTATGGAAGGTGTGTTTAGTTTTTGTTGAGTTTCTGCTCCAGTTCGTTGACGATTCGCTAGTGAGAAACTCATGAATGTTTTGTTGTCCACAGGAGCGGAAGACGACGTGCACCACTTCGTGGGGAACGATACTCGCACCGACTACTTCCGGTTGATGCTGCGAGATGGAGACTCACTCCTTGTGGGAGGAAGGTAAGTGGAAACATGGCGCACCCACCCGCCGGATATTGTTCCTTGATGGTCTCGTGCCACTTTGATGTTTGTTCTTAATGACTTTGACCACACGACTGGAATTTATTGGAAACCTTTTACTGCCGCTGTCTGCGTTCTTTTCGCGGTAAACTTGCGCTTTGGTTTTGCAACCTTTCGACGTTACGGTCAGTTTACTAGTTTCAACACAGTTACCACATCAAGATAGAAATGAGCAAAAAGAATTCGACGCAAGGTAGCAGAACATTACAAATTATACGATTTCCTTAACCTTTTCGGCAGTATGGGCCATATAGACCAGATTTGTCTTCAATTATCCACGCTTCAGACAATTCGGGTGTGCGAAATGTGTCTGGTACAGCGATAATAGTGTCCAATACATATACCAAGAGAGAAACGTAGGTCTTTTAATCCTGAGTGTTCAGTTTAGTGTCAGAAATGAACTCAAGAGTAATCACATAAGGGATTAAAAGATACTTTAAGTCTGTGGTATAAACACATTTCAAATCATGTAATTTACAAATGGATGACTTTGGTAACATCATGATTTATTTAAAAATACTTAGTAGGTAGATAAATTAAACTACAGTAAAGTTAAACGTTAGTTTTGAAATACTTTTTGTTTCATTGCGCACCCGTGTGTGTTTAATTATAAACAATTTGGAAACATGTATTTGATCATTCGGTTCACTTTACTAACACGATACGCTATGCACGCACACCCGTGAAACTAAAAGCATGATAAAAGGTCGACGCGTTAACGTTTTCTTGTACAGAAAAGAACTGAATACACTACTGATTATATCCTCTCTGTTATACTTTCCACTCTCACTCGCTTTCCACTACAACAACGGGAAAAGCGAAGGAAGAATCGGCATCTGCATTAACCATTCTGTCAATCTTCTGGAATTTTGTTAATTTCCTTCACAATTTTTATCGATTCTGTGGTTAATCTCAAAAATATGTTGCCCAATAGTGGATTTTTCAAGTCTGACAGATTTGAGATGAGCGACATGCTCTTTTAATCAACTAATTATAAGCGTTTTAATTTGCACAGGATGTCGTTGATTACTGATTAGATCTTTATAATTAATTTCATAAATGCTCGTTGTTTTATTGGCTCCTAGTTTATCTTTCAGTATATGGACGTTGGGATTGGTTCTTTGGTCTCCCGAATTTTGTTTCTAACTCTTTGGTGATTTAACTCTTATTTACATCATTCAGAAACCAATTTCTACTTCCCGAGCGTAAACAAGTATTGCAATAGTATCCATCTGGCGAATGGCTAGTTTCATGTTTTCTCGTTATTTCATGACCCCCGTTTTCGTCTGTCTATCTGTTTGTCTGTCTGTCTGTCAGTTGATGAAGCGTCGTGCTAATGCTCATCAGTCACTTTTTTCGTTACGGTAACTGATATTGTCAATATTTTTTAACTTGTTTAAGTTATCTTAAAAAATTAAAATTTTGCAAAATGGAATTTTCTAAGTTTTCGAAGATGTCGGACTTTTCTTATCTCTAAATAACCGTAGACCATTTTTTTTTAAATTCAAACTTAATAAATATCCTCATTTACCATATTTGCGTCCAATTTGGAAGTTCTAGGTACACCTTTCTTCATTTTGAAAGAAATAATGAGCTCTAACTGTGGGAAAAACATAGGTATTTCTCTCCCTTCATGTTATCGACGTCGAATAAAAAGTGTTAGCAAGCCTGGTAATATTTAAAATCGATTACAATAAAGGTTAATATCTGTTTTAATTTTACTGTGTAGACAATAAAACGTCAAAATTTTTCCACTCAGTTCCTCGAAAAATGATGTTTTTATTATTATTATTATTATTATTATTTGGTAAATATCGCGTGTTACCTTTTATTTTCAATATTTAACTCGTACTAAAAAAAAATAAATCGAATCACTTCACAGATTGTAACAGATTCAAGTACAGCTTATGAAATATTTAGTAAAATTTGTCTATGCATATCTACTCCAGCTTGTTAACATTTTACCAACTTTTAACCTAGCCTCAGAAGTTCAGAGGAATTAATTTGATAATTTCAAGTAACCTGTCTAATAAATTGCTAGCCAGACAGAAAACGAGAAGCCTACATTTTCATATTCTAGGATTTCTGTTATATTACACAAGACTCGTATCCCTCAAGGAGTAAAAAAGTAAGATGACGTAAAAATTGTTGCGAAGGATATAAATGATTTTATAGCAGAACCTGTGAACCATTTAAGAAATCCTAAAATTTACATTTAATCAATTTTTATTTGTCTGGATCGATTGTGTAGCATTCGCTTTTTACACGACTTTTTATTTATTCAAGAAGTTATAAAGTGACGGTCAAAGGTCCCAAACTCAAAGTTATCTAATATGCGAGGAATGTTACCTGCAGAAGTTTAGCGGTTGGGCGCATTATTTTACGAATTATTGATTAAAGTGAAATTCATACATTTGGCTGCCACCACCGTTTTATCCTCTCGCTGCTAAACTATTCTGCAAAGCATCTTAAATTTTCGCAAATTACTTGTAGTCATCGATTTTACAATGTTGATCCTTGAAACTAGAGGAGTTCACGATTGAATGAATTGCCTTGTTAGGAACTTCCGGCCCCTTTTATTCTAGAAATATTCAAATAATGTTACACGGAGATCTACAAGATTTGCGAGCAAATTTCCTACCAGCGCCGCCATAAATTGTTTGTAGCGTCAGAAGAGAAACTTAAATGTTGCGGCGCCGATGCCCTTATTTTCATTCTCTACCTAACTTTAAAATTTATTCCTTTGCTGATCTAAAAAATAGCAATAAAATAGATGTTATTGGTTAAGGTGTGGCAAACTTTGTGGTCCAAGTGGAATTATAACTTCAATTTTTGTATATAATAAGAATAATCAATTACTCCTATTATAAGTATAAATTCAATGAAAGTTTAATGCGACAGTCTTATTTTTTTAAACGATATGGAAAGTCCTAACAGCATTTTAAGACAGCTTGAAAAAATTTTTTGTAACGATTAAATTAATAACTGTTGCATTATTCTACATTTTAGCAGAAAATTAGTGTAAGCCAACAAAATGACGGCAACAGGAAAAATATAGCATATGCTCATTTTATGTTCATTTCAGTTGTAAACTTCACCTTACACTCATACTTCTTTCATATTCGCGAAAAATGGGTATCATTTCCGTTGTCAATATATTCAACAGTATTACTGTAACTGTAAAAAAAGTAGGTATAGGTCTGTAACTGTATGTAATGAAATATCTAAAATTTTTGATGTACCTTATACCGCAGACATCTCGAATGTTTTCATAATGACAATTCATAATATTACCGAACAAAGTTTACCATTTAGGTTGCACGAAATATACGTAGCTTTGTAACTTCAATTAGTTTACGTGATCAATTGAATCACTTGACCAATAACTTGTGGATTGATTTTCGATTACTCATTTAAAAATAACTAGACTGGTATTGTTGATGATTCACGAGTCCTATTTAGGATAATATTTACATAAAATTACAGGTTAAATTGCCAACGTTTATATAAATCGTTGGCATTCAACCTGTATTTTAGATTTAAATATTGCCTTAGAATTTATGTATCGTTGACAAAATATTAATATCTAATGGACTTCATTGATACCAAAAATAACTTAATAAGAGAATGTCTAAAACATTCAACGTTCATGATTATTAAAGCTATTAATTTTTGTTCAACGATATTTCAACCGTTAAGAGTAAACTCAATATTGAGATTATCAAATTTTAAGTATGAGTTTTTCTGGGTCTGCCTGCTACGCCCCCTTTTAAATAATAACTTCATGGTTACTTTACAGTTTGATTTTAAACACACAAATCAATAAAAATGTATTCTACATCGCTGTTTAGACGCTGTATGCAAAAAAAATAGGAAAGCGCTGTCTTGATCGTTCTACATTTATTTAGAGAATGTTCCTTAATACGAATTTGATGATGATCATCCCGACGTTTTTATATTCTTTTTTCCAGCTGCCTTGGTCTATTTTAGTAAAATTTATTTCTTCACTTTTAAGCCAGATCACTATCTGTCTTGTTTTAATGTTGAAATATGTAAAAGAATTGAATTTGCGGCACACCCTGATGATGCCCACCTAGTGGAGCGCCCACTTTGCTTTACTCATGAAAATCAACGGTCTAGGAGGAATGCCTACACATTTCGGTGAGGTACAGAGGAAAACATTGTTTGATCGGAGATAAATCGTGTCATTATGCGACACATTCGCTCCTCCTCTTAAGCCTTTGTGATGCTCAGCAAGGAGTAACAATGGTGCCATCATGTTTGTCTCGGTTCATGTAATTTTGCTTTGAGTGGCTGTGGGTTTCGTTTTATTCATTAGATCAAGACGACCATAGCTATTTATAACAGGAGAACTCGTAACATGGCATTGACCCATATTAAACTTCTGTAGCCGTTCTTAATAAGAAATTATTTGTTTCTTTGAATTCAAGGAATCTCAAGAGTGAAAGCTACGACTTTCTTATTATTAAATTTTCGTTTTTGGGAGTGTAATGTTTTTTTGTCATATATTGTGCGAATTTATCCGTTACTTTGTGTACAGTTCTTGTTAAAGACAATTTATAGTTCTCTTATCAACTTATGAGTTATGAGTAACTTAACATACACGTATCTGTATTGTCTGCTAATGACTTGTAAGAGTACTTTACTTACAACTGAACCAGAAAGTAACTTTAGAAGTTTTCTAACTCACCTAGGACGAATACAAGCACGCCATTAAAGTCGGTAAAATTGACTGAGGGAAAACTTATCGATTTCTCCGTAGACAGTGGTTTACAAGGCAGTTTCACAGTCTTGTGCACTATGACACGGTAATAAATCAGGTGTGTTTGCTTGGGTGGTGTTTTTTCTAGAGACGTTAAGCCCGTAGTAAGTCGTATAGTGAAGACGTGGGCGACCCTTGGGAGCGGGTGTTAGTTAGG